TCTCATCCGAGTCTTCCCCAGACTCCAGGACTGGCCCACGTTCCTCCCCAACCTCCTCACTGTCTGAATCTGCTGCCAGCTCTGCTGGCTGCTGGCGGGCCACAACAGTTACTAACTTAACAGCCGCAGTGATTCACTTAACAACTGTGGCAAGAAAGGTCGTAAAAATGGGGCAAAACTCATTTCACAAATGTCTCGCTTAGCAACATACATTTTGGGCTCTGTTGTGGTCGTAAGCCGAGGATGACCTGTGTCATGTAGTGAAATATAAACCTAAAGCGCTAAGTTAAAAACAAACTATATTTCCTCCACCCTCCCATGTTTAAAAGTGCTTCTGAATTCTAAATAAATAAATGTTCTACTTTCCAAACTGAACACGGAAAAACAAATGCAGAAGGTGAATTCCTGACAAGTCAGGGAGTTGTAAGTGTCAGTCACTTATATGCACACAATTCTACAACATATGTAACAACAAGGTGATAATATGTATTGCTTGCTTTTTCTGTTTTTTTTTGTTTGTTTTTTTTGCAAGCCAAATTTTATCAAACAGCTCAGCTGCTCAGGATCCCTCTACAGAGATCCAATCAACTGTTCAAAAGAGCTTTTGATTGCTTTATGTACATTCCGTTGGATTTACGCCAAAGCAACCACTTCATACTTGGCAACACGATTGTTGTGAATATTTCCTTCCCAAATTCAAAGGAAACAGTTGGTAGGAATTCACCCTCAAGCATATTTACTTTCAAGCAAATTTATTCGGCGTCCTTAATTTTATGAGAGAGCAATTGGCTCGAGTATATCCTGAACTTTAAAAGAGAGAGAGAGAGAGAGAGAGAGAGAGAGAGAGAGAGAGAGAGAGACTCCCCACCCCCTACAGTGACAACTATTGTTTGACTGTGTAAATCTCTTCTATGGATAACATGCCTTGAGACTGATTAATTGATTGATTGATTATTCACCGTTTTTTTCTGCTGATATTCCTGCACTTTAACCATCAGACCAAACTGACTCTCCCTTAAGGATAGAGACAGCTTCTATTGTAACTCAAGGGAGCCAATAGTTTTTTTTAAAAAAAATATCATAAAACCACTTGTATTATACCACGAGATCAATCATATCTCATATTCCAAACACACTTGGAATAGTGCATTCAGTTTTGGTCGCCACGATGTAAAAAAGATGTAGAGACTCTCGAAAGAGTGCAGAGAAGAGCAACAAAGGTGATTAGGGGAGGATTGGAGGCAAAAACGTATGAAGAACGGTTGCAGGAACTGGGCATGTCTAGTTTAATGAAAAGAAGGACTAGGGGAGACATGACAGCAGTGTTCCAGTATCTCAGGGGCTCCTACAAAGAAGAGGGAGTCAAGCTATTCTCCAAAGTACCTGAGGGTAGGACAAGAAACAATGGGTGGAAACTAATCCAGGAGAGAAGCAACCTAGAACTAAGGAGAAATTTCCTGACAGTGAGAACAATTAACCAGTGGAACAACTTGCCTCCAGAGGTTGTGAATGCTCCAACACTGGAAATTTTAAAGATGTTGGATAACCATTTGTCTGAAGTGTTGTAGGGTTTCCTGCCTAAGCAGGGGGTTGGACTAGAAGACCTCCAAGGTCCCTTCCCACTCTGTCATTCTATTCTATTCTATATGTGCTTACATAATACAAATACATACGGACTATATTCATCAGGGAAAAGTAGACTAAGAATAGACTGTCGTATAATTTCAACACTTAAACTTGGGTTTTGCCAAGAAGTTAAATTGCTATTCATGTCAGAGGTCAAATGGTGACAGACGGAAAAACTTCATTATGTTGTATGTCTGGGTCTGCCAGCTCAAAAGCATCAAAATAAACTTGTCAGTGGATGGAAAGAAACACCAATAAAACAGAAAGTAATATACAAGGAATCAAGTCTTGTTGATTTGTGAGACAAGAATATAAATTGAAGCGCTTAGTATAAATCTCAGCTCCTTAAAAAAGTGTATCTCTTGGCAAGCTAATAGTTAACAGAATTGGTTTGTCTTTTAGATCTGTTGTATGAATTATGTATACAGGCAGTCCTCGAATAAGGACCACAATCGAGCCCGAAATTTTGGTTCTTAAGTGAGACCTTTGTCAAGTCAGTTTTGCTCCATTTCACGACCTTCCTTGCCACAAGTTGTTAAGTGAATCACTGCAGTTGGTAAGTTAGCAACACGGTTGTTAAGTGAATCTCGCTTCCCCACTGACTTTGCTTTCGCAAAAGGGGATCACATGTCCCCGGGACACAGCAACGGTCATAAGTATGAACCAATTGCCAAGCGTTTGAATTTTGATCACGTGATCATGGGGATGCTTCAAAGGTCGTAACTGTGAAAAAACAGTCATAGGTCACTTTTTTCCAGTGCCGTTGTAACTTTGAATGGTCACTAAATGAACTGTTGTAAGTCAAGGACTATATAGAACTAAGCCAATAGAACCACAGGTGGCACACAGAGCCAATCAGTGGGCACGCAAACTCAGCTCCAGCACGCACAGCTGATTTTTGGGTCTTCTGGGCCTACCAGCAGTAGGGAAACAAGCTGTTTCCTGCCTCTGGAGGGCCTAGAGGGGTGGGGAAGGCCCATTTTTTGCTCTCCCCAGGCTCCAGAACCTCTCTAGGAGCCTGGGGAGGGCGAAAACAGTCTTCCCCACCCTCTGGAGGCCAGAAACCGGGCCCATCGGGCCATCGCGTGCCAAAAGCGGGGGGGGGGGGGGCACACACAGGTGGGGGGGAGGGGGGGTATATAATTATGGGTGTGGGCACACATGTGCGTGACCCCCCCCACTGGTCCCCCACTTTTGGCACGCGACAGCAAAAAGGTTAGCCATTACTGCAATAGAAGAAGAAGAAGATAGTGCCTATTATGTGCTATGCGGATTAATCATTTTAAACAGATATACAATATTTTATGTTAAAATCAAGCATTTTCTCATGAAATCACTATCCAAGGATGGCCTTTTGTTAGTTCTTAAAATCATACTATAAAAGTCTTCACGAAATAAAGTTTCCAAGAGCCTTTTGCATTAACGCTGTCTAGTTCAATATAGGTTAAATCCTCATAGTATTGTTTCCACAGTCCATTGACTACCTGAATAATGGTTAACGGCACTCTGTTATATTATTTGCACCTACAATAGATACCCTTATCCTCATCCTTACATTCCTTAAATGTAAATTTTCCAGTTCTCAAAAGCAAATCAATGCTGCAAATTGATTTTTCTCACCAGTCACGGCTGAATCCGATTAGTAATTTCATTTGACTGTTTGAGAAGCCTACAAATCGGTCCATTTAAAATTGCCCCATGACTTTTGGAGAAGAGGCACTACACCTTATACAGATGTACATTTGCTAATTCTTGATACAGGTAGTCCTCAACGTATGACCACAATTGACCCCAAAATTAATGTGGGTAAGTGAGAAATTTGTTAAGTGAATTATGTCCCCTTTCATCACTTTTCTTGCCACAATCGTTAAGTGGATCATTGCAGTTCGATAAATTAGTAACCCGGTTATTAAATTAATCTGGCTGTCAACTCGTAAAGCATTCCAGGATTGCTCTCGAGTTGCCATAGGTGGGGGGAGGTGGGGGGGACTGATAGAGCAGCTCGACTGCCACAACCAGAAGCACATTCCACGCATACCTTTCTCCAGATTGTACCCAGGTTACCAGAGCCAGCCGGAGAAGCATGTTTTCTACAGCCCGCGAAAGTGCTCCATTGGAGAATGTGATTTATGACACACCCAGGGAGGAGGGATGGTTATGGGAGCGATGTGGAGTTCCATGTAACACCTCTCCTGCGCGAGCTGCACTGGCTCCCGGTGGTCTTCTGAGTGCGCTTCAAGGTTCTGGTTATCACCTTTAAAGCGCTCCATGGCTTAGGACCTGGTTATCTACGGGACCGCCTGCTACCACCAATAGCCTCCCACTGGCCAGTATGCTCCTATAGAGAGGGGCTCCTCCAGGTGCCGTTGGCCAAACAATGTCGACTGGTGGCCCCTAGGGGGAGAGCCTTCTCTGTGGGGGCACCTACAATCTGGAACGAGCTCCCCCCGGAGATACGGAGGATCCTGGATCTGCGCACCTTCCATCGCGTGCTTAAGAGTTTTTTATTTCATCAAGCTGGCCTGGCCTAAATCTTCTCCCCTTTTTAAATGTAAATTTTAATTTGTTTTAAATTATGGGGTATTTTAAATTCAGCCAAATTATTTAATTCATTTTTAATCTATTTTAAATTTTTGTATTTATGTGTTTTATCTTGTGGCTGTTCACCACCCTGAGTCCTTCGGGAGAAGGGCGGTATAGAAATTTAATAAATAAATAAATAAATAAAATAAATGAAACAGGGTCATAGTGGGGTCGTAAATTACGTGGGGCAGAGCTGACTCCACTTGGATACGTGCCAACATGTTGCTCCTAATAAATAACTGGATTTCTTTTGAAACTTGGCTCAACGCTCATGGATTAATTAGGGCATCCATTGGAACCCTGACAGCGGCTTCCCCATTGACTTCGTTTGTCAGAAGGTCACCAAAGAGGATGCAGGAGACACTATGACGGTCATAAATCCATGCCAGCTGGCAAGCATTTGAATTTTGATCACATGAACCTGGGGATGTTGCAAAGGCGGTAACTGTGAAAAACGGTCATAAGTCGCTTTTTTCAGTGCTGTTGTAACTTTGAATGTTCACTAAATGAGCGGTTGTAAATTGAGGACTACCTGTACATATATTACCTTCTACGGTCCTTCTGCCATAAAATAACTGTCAGATAAGATCCTCGCATGAATTCAACTAAACAGCCTATGCACAGGAATCTTCTCAATTCATGGTTAGCATCTGCTTGAAGTTAGATAAGGGTCAATGGAAGTCGAAGGAGGTTGGATTTAGTTCACTTGTGACTATGTAGGGATTCTAGGCTGATCCCTCTTTTGACTCCACCCCATCTTCACCTTAACAATAATGGTAACAGTTACTTACATAAAATTCACGCAGCCTGTTCCTGCAGGAGGAGCAATCCAAACAAAACTGAGATTTGTGGTTGGAAGGTGGCTGACGTGTGACGCCACCATGCTGCACATGAATTGATTCCCAAATTGGTGATCAGACATTATTCCTACAAGGAAGAGACAAAATAAATATTCATGGATATTCATTCAACAAGTTTCATTTTATTTCTGCACAAGCATTCATAAACAATTTATACGAAATTCGGTTGTGTAACATAGCATTCTAACTGTATATACAGTCGATATTTATCTTGAACATTAATATGAAATAACTTTACTCTTTGCCCTGAACTTCAAAACTATAAGGTAAAAAGGTAAAGGTTTCCCTCGCACATATGTGCTAGTCGTTCCCAACTCTAGGGGGCGGTGCTCATCTCCGTTTCAAAGCCGAGGAGCCAGCGCTGTCCAAAGATGTCTCCGTGGTCATGTGGCCGGCATGACTCAACGCCAAAGGCGCACAGAACGCTGTTACCTTCCCACCAAAGGTGGTCCCTATTTTTCTACTTGCATTTTTTACGTGCTTTTGAACTGCTAGGTTGGCAGAAGCTGGGACAAGGAACAGGAGCTCACCCCGTTACGCAGCACTAGGGATTCGAACCGCTGAACTGCTGACCTTTCGATCGACAAGTTCAGCATCTTAGCCACTGAGCCACCGCATCCCTTTTTAACTTAGTTCTTAGAGCAGAACAAATAATAGACACTACATCTTCAAATTGTATGGTTCTTATTTTTACTTTCTCCCCCCTTTTCGTTTTAGTTATAGAGATTTTAAATTACTGTAACGTGTATAGTTTCTCACTCTATTATCACCGTTGTATTATTCTTTGCAGTATTTTTTTTTAAAAAAAGATTAGCTGATTTTTTGGGTGATATATAACATATAAGTGGAAAAGAGTTTTCTTGAAGGACTGGTTGGACAAAAAAAGTCCAGAGATGAAAGGAAAAATATCATTAAGGTAGAGGTTAATTGCACAAACTTTTACAGGTAGTCCTTGAGTTACGACCACAATCGAGCCCAAAGTTTATGGTGCTCAGTGAGAAATTTGTTAAGTGAGTTTTGCCCCATTTTACAACTTTTCTTGCCACATTTGTTAAGTGAATCACTGCAGTTTTTAAAATTAGCAACATGGTTGTTAAGTGAATCTGGCTTCCCCATTGACTTGGCTCGTCAGACGGTCGCAAAAGAAGATCACATGACCCAGAGACACTGCAACAGTCATAAATGTGAGTCAGTTGTCAAGGATCTAAATGTAAATCACAAGACCATGGGGATGCAGTCGTAAGTGTGAAAATGGTCATAAGTCACTTTTTTCAGTGCCGCTGTAACTTCAAATGGTCACTAAACAAACTGTTGTAAGTAGGTAAAGGTAAAGGTTCCCCTTGCACATATTTGCTAATCGTTCCTGACTCTAGGGGGCGGTGCTCATCTCCGTTTCAAAGCCAAAGAGCCAGTGCTGTCCGAAAACGTCTCCGTGGTCATGTGGCCGGCATGACTCAATGCCAAAGGCGCACGGAACGCTGTTCCCTTCCCACCAAAGGTGGTCCCTATTTTTCTACTTGCATTTTTTACCTGCTTTCGAACTGCTAGGTTGGCAGAAGCTGGGACAAGTCACGGGAGCTCACTCCGTTACGTGGCACTAGGGATTCGAACCGCTGAACTGCCGACCTTTCGATCGACAAGCTCAGTGTCTTAGTCACTGAGCCACCGCATCCCTTGTTGTAAGTATTTATTTTAGTGTTTATAATATTATTTTATTTATTTATTCAATTTATATGCTGCCCCTCTCCGAAGACCCAGGGCGAAGTAGAGAACTACCTATATGTTTATTCAGAAGTGAGTCTCATTAAGAATTCTTTCCTATCTAGAATTGCAGACTATAATGGCATAAAATATTTCTTTGTATGGAAAAAAAAGGGGGGGGGGAAACATTACAGCTACACATTTTTGTTGTGCTGGAAGTAAAGCAGTATTTCCCATAGACTTAGCATTCACTGTAGACCTTGGAGGTTTAAACAAACACACACATGAATTTTTAGTTTAAGTAAAGAATAATTGTTATATGAGGAGATTTGGAGAATTGTAAGCATGAAATGATTTTAACCGATTGAGATGCTGTCTATAATTGTTTGTAAGGATGATATTTTTATGTTATTGTTGTTTTGTTTTTATTTTATTTTTTTATTTTATCTTTAATCTAAAATAAAACTTTTTCAAAAAAAAAAGAAATCATATGCTTGTCTTTTTCCTTATAAATGCTTGGAATATTCATGTAATTTAATACAGAAACAGCAAGGACTAAAGAAAAATGATTGGGTGCATCATTATTATTATTTTTTAAATAGACTTTCTACATATTTTTGTGTAGAGCCAAAGTCTGCAGCAGCTAAGAGTCACTAAATCACACCCCAATTTTAAAAGGTAAGGAAGCCTTCCCTTGAAATTATATCTCCCTTGAGTTTTATTGTGTGTTGAAACCATATATATGTCATTCCATCTTATTATGCCGTTCTCTGTTGTACATTGCTTTACCGTGAAACTGTTAGGGACTGTATATCATGCCTAATCCAAGCCCAGGAAAGGGGCGAGAGGGAGCTTATCCGTAATAGATGGATGTCCTCAATTTTCTGGCACTTGCTGTAATAAAAGTTCTATATCAGTGGTCCCCAACCCCCGGTCCGCGGACCGGTGCCGGGCCGTGGAGTACCTGGCACCGGGCCGCGCAGCGGCCGGGGGACAGGAACGCTGCAGCGCAAAGGCTCCTGGGCCGTGCGCAATGGGCCTGCGCAAAGGCTCCTGGGCCGTGCGCAATGGGCCTGCGCAAAGGCTCCTGGGCCGTGCGCAATGGGCCTGCGCAAAGGCTCCTGGGCCGTGGCCCCACCCCTGCGCGCGCTCAGCGGGCCGCGGCGATAAAAAGGTTGGGGACCACTGTTCTATATAACCCAAATCAAGGCAAGGTCACTCGAGCATCGTCAGGAACCTGGTCACCTGTCGAGGGCTTTAACTCTTCCAAAGGGTCGTAGACACACAAGGTGAATGGCATCCTGAGGACTTCAAGTCAGGCAGGGATAATATACAATTTATATAGACGTTCTTATGGTTTTCAAAATCCTTCACCTAGAATAGTTGAGCAATTTTTTTTTCCTCTTGAAAAGCGCTGAAGGAAGGACAGTGTTACTACGCCCATGTTGTAGAACAGTGTTGGCGAACCTTTTCCGCATCGAGTACTGAAATGGGAGCATGCGCGCGTGCCGGAAACTGGAAAAGCAGCCACCTGTGGTGCATGTGCACGCCGGGAAGATTATCTTCCGGTTTCCGGCACGCGCATGTGCACTGTCCACCTGTTCCGGTTTCCGGAGCTCACACGCGAGTGAAGACCAGCTGGCTGACACACCGGAACCCGGAAGAGCAATGGGCGAGGGCTCGCATGCCCGGAGAGGTATGTTCCACTTCCGGCACATGTGCCATAGGTTCCTCGACACAGTTGTAGACAAATGTGGAGAGTGAGAGGGTCTTTCTCAGATTTTAAGGTGCAAGAAAAGTCAGGGGTGACCACCTCATCATTCGTATCTTGATGGTTTATCTTCCACCCTTAAAGCATCTCAAAGCATCTCAAAATGTACTGCCATAAAGATCAGCCAGCATGACCAATTGGTGTATTGTGCAGGGATGATGGAACCTCTAGTCCGATGCATCTATATGCCAACATATTGGGGGAAACTGTATGGCATGATAATATCTCACCGGAATGCTTTGGTTGAGCTACTATATTCATGTTTGATCGAATCAATATTTAGTGTTATACTAAATATGGATGTTCCACTCCATTCTCACCTCACTTCTCTCTTATTTTATAATGCAGCAGTTCTAGGTTTCATACCGTGTTTCTCCAAAAATAAGATCCTGTCTTATATATTTTTGAACCCTGGAATAAGCACTTGGCCTTATTTTTGGGGAGGTCTTATTATTTTGGGGTGTGTGGAGCAAGACGGGGCTCCTCTTGCCATCTTACCTGATTTCCAGCTCTCCCTCCCTAACCCTAACCAGAGGAAATGGTGGGGACCAGCTGCGCATGCTTTTAAATATTTTTGGGGAGGGCTTATTTTCAGGGGAGGGCTTATTTTCAGGGGAGGGCTTCCAGTGGGCCCATTTTTCGCCCTCCCAGAGCCTCCGTGCAGCCCCTGCACTTACCTGGCATCCAAAAAGGGCTGCGTGGAGACTCCTGGGAGGGGAGGGGCAGGGTGGGCGGAGTCAGCAAATCCTTGCAACGACCGGTTCGACGAACCAGATTAAAATTAACATCCGGTTTTCCTGAACCGGTGCGAACCGGCTGAATCCCACTCTGTATAGCAGCGAGGCATGTCGCGCATACAATCTCACAAGGAAAAACAAAACAAAAGAAAAGCAAACAACAGACAAAACAAATACAGTCTGTTTTACGAATCGTGTTTTATGAACCCCCACAAAACAACGTAGTGCATTAGGAACATTCCTTGTAGTTGTTAACACTATTTTATCTGCTTAAAAACAGAGAATAATTCATGGAACGATCCTGGGACCAGTTCTCTTTGTGATAATCCCATTAAAGTCAGAGGAATTACTCAATTAACAATCACCTACTGGCATTTTGAAGGAAACCCTGAGTGAAGTACACTCATATCCAACGTACGACTAGTGATTGACTTTTTTTTCCCCCCAGATGATTACATCCTGTTTCACGGGGAAAAAAACCATCCGCCGAATTCGATAGAATGGAAGAGACTTCTAAAACACAGCTGGTTTGTGCAAATCAATTATAGGTCAGCACGGCTTGATAAATTATTAAGTACCTCAAAGGGGGGCATACTGACAATGAAGGCCCTTTTTATTTCCAATTCAGTGGGTTATATCAGATTTAGCTTACTTCAGACAACAAAATGATTTTATGGGGGGTTTTCTATTATTAAAAACCAACCTTACCTCTGCTATAAAAGAGTGCTTTAAAATGAGACACGTATTTTCTTTTAAGTTCTAGCCCGTTTGTTAAATGGTATTAAAAGATGTCAGAATATTTATACTTGGGCTTTTTTGCAAAACTGGGAATTTTTTTAACAGTTGCACATTTTTAGAGCTTTCTGGTAAAACTTTTATCCGGAAGACATTAAACGTCGCGGTGTTTCTCAAACTGCTACTTGTACTTGCAATTTCAATAATCTGGCTATACCAGATTGTAAACCTACAGTTGCAAATAAGAGGTAACACTAAATTATGATGTGTATTTGTGTATGGGGAGAGAGAGAGAGATGATAAAGGATGGGTATGATAGATAGAGGATGGATGGATGGATGGATGGATGGATGGATGGATGGATGGACGGACAGACAGATGATAGAGACAGACACAGAGACAGACAGATTTGATAGATAGATGCATGGATGGATGGATGGACAGACTGACAAAAAGACAGACAGAAGACAGAAGACAAACAGACAGACAGACAAAAGATAGATAGAAAATAGATGGATGGATGGATGGATGGATGGATGGATGGATAGATGGACAAACAGACAGACAGAAGATAGATAGTTTTAGATGTCAAAAGGGTTTTGTGGCTCCCGGTGTTTTATTTTCTGTGGGAAATTGGTCCAAATGGCTCTTTGAGTGCTTACGGTTGCTGACCCCTGTTCTAATTCAATATTTGGTTCATATTTATTATGGTTTTTTCTTCTTCTTTTGAATGCAAGGAAGTTAAAACATGGCTAGTTTTCAATATTTGTAGGCTGCTCGTCTTATAAAGATAACCACTGCGTCTCGCCAGCCATTTATGAATTTAAATTCTTTCCTTCATCTTTTTTTCAATGACCTGAATATGATGGGTTCTTAATTAACATTTTCCAAGCAGGATCCACTGTCAGAATCCACTGGAAATGTATCTTTGTCTTAGGGATTTATGACTTCAAGCTGACATGAATTACATATATGCAAATGAGAGGCTGCTGGGAGGCGAGCATATAGCCTTCTATTTTGCATAATTTCCCCAAGACACTGAATTAGATTCTTTGTCAATTTATTAAGCACATGTATTTGTTTTAAAGGGAGGTCAGGAAGAGTTCCAAGCCTTGACTTTTTTAATGATTGTTTGCTGTCAACTTGAGAATTTTGGGTGGGAAATAATCACTGGGCATCTGAAATCAAGGGACTTCAGCAGACAAGTATAAACACAGAGGAAAAAAACTATGATATTAGGCAGTGATTGGCATATTCATCAAAGGGAAAAAGGAATAATCATTTTTCAGATGATACTCTTGTGTCCAAGTCCTCTTTGGAATTACCGATCCATTGTTCACCTCTGCAACAGATGCAAAATATTGTGTTCTGCTATCTAAAGAAATGAAACGCAAACTGAGAGATATTATGATAGGAATGGACAGAGAAAGTTTTTACGAAGGAAGGCGAATATGCGTGTCCCAGGAAAAAGTTTTACCCAAGAGAAAGGTTTACCCACTTCTGTTCATTGGCTACCCACAGTTATCATCATAGCCTTACTTGGAATTCTGCTTTAATGGTTCAGGAAAATCATTTTCTATTTCACCAGCAGAAATAGATTCTTACCATAGATTAACCTACAGACTTCAACAATTGTGGGGTTCCGATACTCAAATGGGAAACCTTTTGATCCTGTATCCTAAGAAGAAAGCCGAGCAACTATCCAGTGACTTACTTATCTTGATAAAACGCTTACGGATCAATCAATAAATAAATGTGTTTGTCGAGCTTCCTCTTAATGAGATTTTTATCCAAAGGATGGATATGCATACCTTTATATGCATTCTGTACTAAGCCAATGGAATCATCACATTGGTTTCAGTCAGGATTAAAATATTGTCCTTGCCTTGTTGAAACGTTTACACCAAGGCTTATTCCAAATGTAACTAATTTCAAAGTGGAAGCAAATAAGGAACGTGCAATCAGGAGGCAAACATTATTACGTAAAAATGAGTGATCTTCTAAGCTTAAATCTGTTTTTAATAAGAAAAAGTGGTCCCGGGAGACTTGGAGAATTACAGCCAAAGTCTTTTCTTTTGAGTACATTATTTGTGCTACCCCACTGGCTTCCGAACGGAACATAAGTAAATACAGATTGCATGGTGAGTCTGATAGGGCTTCTTAATTGTTTTTCTTGTAAAGCAGATTAGCAGATCAGAAAGCTTAACATTAAAAAAAAAAAAACTGATTAATCTCAGCCTCCTAGTAATATGCTAATGGGAATATGATTTCTCTCCGGTATTGCTATTTGTCTACATAATCACTTTATCAACTCCAGATGTTAGGGGTCGAAAGTCAGTCTTCTCAAATGTAACGGGATTGCCTTTAAAATTATGCAGAGACAATTTAAGGGCGGGTGGGTGATAAGATTTTTCTATATTAATGAAAAAGAGACAGTAAGCAAAACAAAGAATGCTAATTGTGGAAACCTTTTCAGGAAAAGTGTATTTTTGAGGTTTGATGGCTAATAACATTTTTTTGTTTTTTGGAAGTTTCAAGATAATCCTATTCCATTGCTGGAATGGCCTGGGAATAGCCCAGACCTTCACCCAATTGAAAAGAAACTTGTTCATCAGAAGTGACCCAATAAAACCCAGTTAATAGAAGCAATCCTTCAATCTTGGTTTCACATTATAATAGCTGCAGAACTAAAAGACTTAGTTTACTCCATGGGAAGACATTGTAAGGCCGTAATTCATGCTAAAGTTTACCCAACTAAGTATTAACTGACATGGTGATAATTTTTGTATATCTCGTTTTTTTCTATGGTGATAATTTTTGGATATCTTGTTTTTTCTACGTGTTTCACTTTCCTTCTTTAGACTGTAACTGCTATTCTAATAGCAAATCCTTCATTAAAGTTATTGCATTACATTCTTGATTAAATGATCTTTCCATTGATATATAATTTTATGGTACTACTAAAAAAAAAAATTGGTGTTATTAGCTAGTTTTAAGAAAATACACTTTCCCCAAAAGGTTTCCACAATTTTGGCCATTACTGTGGAAAGTGTAAATCAGAATCAGAATAGAGCTTGGAGGTCTTCTATGGGAAGTGATTCTGAGGAAGGAAAAAGTTTTGAGAGATTTCTAGATGTGACAAGCATTTGAAGATTCATATAAGACTGATGGGATAAATAATAAACGGTATTTGAATTTAGCTTGGTTCTTCCCAAAATGTTAATTGAAGGAACCATTTGCATGGCAGACTGGATATCAAGGAAGAATTCAGAGAGTGAGAATATAAAAAGGAGGACTTTTTGAAAATATGGAAATATTTGATACTTATTAGTATCAAATTCCCAAGTACATTTGTAATTAAGCTGTGCATAATTATAAAGTCAAAACGCACAAGCGGATGTTAGGACTACAAAGTACTCCTAATTTCTTCCTAGTTTTAACCCAAAGTGGCTCTGCCTTTTTGTGAATTGATCACAATTTCAATTCACTCAATTTTCTAGATTCCCTAAATAACCAGACTCCAGAAGAGGTAACATCCCCTTAAAATTCAACCAAAATATTTGCATATTTGTTTATTTTATTGCAGCACCTTTTTTATTCAGTATCTCATTTTAACTCAAAGTCTTTGAATTGTTCAATAGAACTATAGCCGATAGGACAGTGGTGAAATCCCCCTCGGATCACCACTGGTTCGCGGTGCGCGCCAAAAGCAGGCTGCATGCGCACATATGCAGTGCCAAAAATGCACTTCACGCAGAAAAAAAGATTTCCCTAGGTAAGTAGAACAGCGAGGGGGAGAAGAGCTGTGCCGAACGATTTAGCTTCGCTAGAAAGCAGGATTTCCTGCTTTCTAGCGAAGCTAAACCAAGCGGCACAGCTTATCATTGGAAATACCGGTTCAGACAAACTGGTAGCTCTTTTTTAAGCTACCGGTTTGACTGAACCGGTAGCTAACTACACTGTTACCTTCCCACCAAAGGTGGTCCCTATTTTTCTACTTGCATTTTTTTAACATGCTTTCGAACTGCTAGGTTGGCAGAAGCTGGGACAAGTCATGGGAGCTCACCCTGTTACACGACACTAGGGTTTCAAACCGCTGAACTGCCGACCTTTCGATTGACAAGCTCAGCGTCTTAGCTGCTGAGCCACCGCATCCTTTTTTATTCTCACATTAGAAATGCGTTTTTGTATAACTATGTCCCTTCTCACAAACTATAGGCTCTATTTCTCCCACTCCTCCTAGAAATGCTGACATTTGGAAATCAAAACAAGGAGAAAAATGAACAAAAAATGGGTAGTAATAGAGTAGAACCCCCCCCCCGCACTAAAAGCATTAAAGCATGTTTTAATCCTGGTGCCTTAGATCAGTAATCATCAATTTAATATTAAGGCCCTTTTGTATAAACTCAGTTAAGAAGGAAGGCGCCCTTCTTCAAAATCCTACATAACTGTAGTTCATTTGCATTGGGTGAGACCTTGCACTGAATCTAAAGTGGAAAAAAATATGTGGCTGTAAAAAAAAAGATCTGATTACTAATGCTTCCTAGAGTCCCACATGTGATAGTGTAGTGATGGAATGCCTTCATTAGGAGAAATACATATGTACCTTTTTCTGGTGGGCCAATTCTCCTTCGCTCTACAGTCAGACTTCAAGAAAAATTACATTATTATGTTGCATTTCCAAAAAGCTTGGGGGCCCATTATGCGCCCTTGGAGCATAAGGGAAAAAAATCCACTGTATGCTTGAGCTGCATTTGG